AGCGCTTATTCGACCATTACGGTATATGCCTGCGCCACAACATGCACCCAACTGGATCTGAACCGATGTTTTACGTACAGAAATAAAAACAGAATGAATGAATGAAAATGATTTTTTTTGCCTATAATTTGTTCTTGTTGGGGTTTGCAAGTTTTTGGTAATCCAATCCAAATGAAAATTCAGAATATTATTGTATTATTTTATTTCCATTTATTGTCATTTGCATCATAAAAATACATAAAACATTGTTTTTGCTCACAGACTTTTATTACATAAAAAAACTAAACAACAAAACATATCTACAGGCTCAGTCATATCCCTGTCTCTTATACACATCTAGATGTGTATAAGAGACAGTAACAGGAAGCTTACGCCACCTTCTTGGTCATAATAATTAAAAGAATAATGGCATCATTATGAATGCAAATTTCTAAAAATAAAAATAAATGTGTCTAGTGTGTTTTAATTTCAACAATAAGGATAATACAGTAACTAATCAAACACTAAGGCGCTGGGTAAGCATAGCACGGAGAGTTAAGTGATCGCTGATGTGTGTTTACTTCCCCGATGTAGCATTCATCCAGCTAACAATTATTACGTTATGAATAACGTTGCAGTGTACAAGACACTTTTGTAGAACCATAAATAATGTATTTATAACGTAATTTCTGAATAAATAACAGATTCAGATCCATATTTCTTCATTGTCATAACACACACAAAATGTAGCAAGGGTGGATGCAGAGATATCCAAAATGGGGGTGGTGGGGCGATTGAGAAAAAACAATACCCTAGGAATTCCAGGAATTTTTTAGTTTTCTAGACGTCCGGCAATAACCTCTGAGGCGTTTTATGCGATCAACAATTCCTGTTTCTCTCTTTCTTTCTTTCTTTCATTTTTTCTTTACTTTCTAAAAGTGGTTGGTGTAGGCCTATGTATGAAACTCTTTTTCCAAATTGCGAAAGTAAACACATATTGAAAAACATAAACTAATTGCACTAAATAACATACATAAAATACTAATAAAAATAAAGTAAAACAGTTATAAATAAAAGCTAAAACAGAGTTGAATTTGTGGTGTAGGAAAGTGTAGGGGTTATCTTTTATCTTTTAAATGAACTGTTGAAGAGGCGGATGGCTGTCGGCATACAATTTTCAATGTAGTAGTACTAAAGCTTTATTTATTCACGAAAACATAACTCAACAATTTACATGCTGTTTTTCATCATGGTCGTGATAAAAAAGTAAACAAAATATAAATCAAATTTACAAAACAATATTTACAAATCAATAAACATAATAACGTTGCAAATGTCACTGTAACGTTGCGTTAAATTGTTTTCTGACATTGTTGGCTTAGCTCAGTCGAGCCGTTGTTTGTGCGCTGAACCGTGGCGATCTCTAGGACCCCGGTTCAATTCACATCGCTGCCTCTCCTTGTTTTTCACTAGGGCTGAAATACAAGTTACAATAGCGCACCGTCTTTCGGATGAGACGTTTAAGCCGTTAGTCCGTGTGCATTATGGCCCATGTGAAAAGAGTAGGGAATTGTCTCCCGGTGTACTGCCCAATCACCACCAGAAAGACCCCACTGGAAATAAGTCTTCTTCTAGACTTTCGTGGGCTATCC